CTCTGATAGTATTTACACAGCCTAGTACAAGGTGACGCATTTCATAAGTGCCAACTGGATGGGCAGATGGATGGATAGCTGGTTGGATGGATGGGTAGGTGGGTGGGTGGATGGATGGATGGATGGATGGATAGGGGGATGAACGAATGGATGGATGGATGGTGGTTGGATGGATGGATGGATGGATGGAAGGATGCATGGATGATGGGTGGATGGTGGATGGATGGATGGAAGGATGGTGGATGGATGTTTGGGTGGATGGATGATGGATGGATGGAAGGGAGGATGGGTGGATGGGTGGATTGATGGATGGAAGGGTGGATGGTGGATGGATGGATGGTTGATTGATGGATGGATAGATGGATGGTTGATGGATGGATGGACAGACGGAAGGAAGGATGGTGGATGGATGGAAGGATGGATGGACAGACGATGGACAGATTGGAGCAGAGGCAGAGTGATTCAGGGACCAATTAGGAGACTAACCAGTAGTCGGGACAGGAAAGCGATCCGAATCCGAGAACGCCAAGGCGGCAGCAGGGGGACCTGGGGAGGGTGCACAGGAGGAATCTGCAGGCCGCCGGCTCTGGGTGAGTGTTCGGAGCGAAGCAGAGGGAGGTGCCGGGTGGCCAGCGGGGATCTGACTGAGGCAGGTCTGGGGGCGGGAGGGAGGGATGCCCACTGAAGTGGAGACCCCTGCTGAGGCCGTGAAGAGAACATTTTATTCAATATTTGTATTGATGTCAGAGAGGAAGGGAGAGAGAGAGAGAGAGAGACATCAACGATGAGAGGGAATCATGGACCGGCTGCCTCCTGCACGCCCCCCACTGGGGATCGAGCCCGCAACCCGGGCCTGTGCCCTGACGGGGAATCGAACCCTGACCTCCTGGCTCACAGGTCGATGCCCAACCACTGAGCACACTGGCTGCGCCAGACCAAGTTTAAATGTGCAGAGAGCTTGGATACGGTCGGCGAGCCGGGGGTCTGGCCAGCGTGTCCACGAGGCGTTGAAGCCGTGGGGGGCCCCCGGGAGCCCCGGGAGCCTGGCCCTGGCCGTGGACCTGGCTGCGGGCTTGGCGATGAGCAGCTCACAGGCCGGCGGAGAGGGAGCTCGGCGTTCAGCTCTGCCCCTCGCCCACCGAGGCCTCGCGTGGCGCTTGCTGTTGGGAAATCGCCTGCGAGTCCCACCAGGTGAAGGCCCCGTGTCTTCACTGTGTCTCGCGCTCACCGTGTTCTCCGCTGCGTTAATGAAAGGCTCTGTGTTCCCGAGGCTGCCCCAGAAGACGGCCACCGTTGTGATGGGAATGACGACGCCCACTCACCCAGCGTGCGATGGCATCTATGTGACCTGTGACACCCTCCCTGCCGGCACCCTGCCAGGGCCGGCAATCTCTGGTAATCACACAGGCACGTCTGCCTGACAACTGCACTGTTTCCCAATGAGCCCAGCCAGATACAGCTTCACCATCCGTCCACCCACCACCTTTAGGGCACCATCCGTCCATCCATCCCCACCCTTAGGGCACCATCCATCCGTCCATCCTCACCCTTAGGGCACCATCCATCCGTCCATCCTCACCCTTAGGGCACCATCCATCCATCCAATCCTCACCCTTAGGGCACCATCCATCTGTCCATCCTCACCCTTAGGGCACCATCTGTCTATCCATCCATCTACCCACCCACCCGTAGGGGCACTGGGCTCCCCAAAGCCTGGGCAGGGCACTGGCAGGGTACAGAGGCTCATAGGAGAAGGATCACCCCCAGCCCTCGCCCAGCCAGTGTGGCTCAGTGGTTGAGCATCTACCTATGAACCAGGAGGTCAAGGTTCAATTCCCGAACAGGGCACATGCCCAGTAGGGGGCGTGCAGGAGGCCACCGATCCATGAGCCTCCCGTTCCCAGCGACCCTGGCAGATAGGAACACTCCTTCCCAGTGCAGGCCAACCCCTCCAGAGCCCACACCCCCAGCCACCACCTCTAGGGGGCGCTCACACCCCGGGCCATTCTCCACCTGCCCTCATCCCAGGAGACCAGGTGTCAGAAGATTAAGGACAGCTCCTGTCAGGCCCACAGTTGGCTGAAATTATTCAAACTCAGCAATCCTCAGAGCATCCCCGTTGGCTACTTAAGTGTCATGATTCTAGGCCTCAAGGACCCAGCGAAGAGCAAATCAGACACGGGTGCTGCCTTTCCGAAGTCTAATTAGGGCCACAAACCTGAAACGAATCATCACACAAATAAACATCTTTACTAATAAAAAGCATAATGTGAGAATTAGACTTGACATCTTCCGGACAAAGCCATGGTGGCGGGAGCCAAGGCAGAGGCGGTTAGGGGTGATCAGGCCGGCAGGGGAGAGCAGTTAGGGGCGATCAGACAGGCAGACAGAGGGGTTAGGGGCGATCAGGCCGGCAGGGGAGAGCAGTTAGGGGCGATCAGACAGGCAGACAGAGGGGTTAGGGCAGCCGTGGGCAAACTACGGCCCGCGGGCCGGATCTGGCCCGTTTTAAATGAATAAAACTAAAAAAAAAAAAAGACCGTACCCTTTGATGTAATGATGTTTACTTTGAATTTATATTAGTTCACACAAACACTCCCTCCATGCTTTTGTTCCGGCCCTCGGTCCAGTTTAAGAACCCATCGTGGCCCTCGAGTCAAAAAGTTTGCCCACCCCTGGGTTAGGGGCAATCAGGCAGGCAGGCAGGTGAGCGGTTAGGAGCCAGCGGTCCCTGATTGGAGAGGGTGCAGGCCGGCTGGGGTGAGGGACTTCCCCCCGCCCCCATGCACGAATTTCGTGCACCAGGCCGCTAGTGTAATTAAACAGCTTGGCAAAGTATATGAAGGGGAAAATGACAGAGTGCTGTGTGAGCATAAGGGGGCAGGATGAGCTTGTAAACAAAGACCTACAGCAAGAGCAGAGAAGAGCTTCTAAGGAGCGAGAACAGCAGGCAGCAGGCAGGCGCTGCAAGAGGAGTGGTTAGCATCACACGCTTCCCACTCACTGGCGTGTGCTCATCCTCATCAGCTCACCTTGCAGCTACTTTGAAGGCGTTTGTTTACGCTGCGTTTTCTTACTCATCTAATCACAGGCAGGGGAGGTTCTGCACGTTACGCAGCCAAACCAAGAACTCAGAGGTCAGGAAATGGGGTGACAGGAGTGGCTGGGCCAGGGGAATGAGGGAACCCAGCTGGACGTCCCGGGCCTTTGCACCTGGGGCGGGGTTCTGTCCTGCCCCCTTTGACGCACCCACCTGCAAAGCCTGCCTCCGTAACATCTCCAGGACAGCGGGCGTGTTCCTGTGATATCTCCCCTAGCAGCTGGGACCCGCCCAACTGTGAGCATGCCACGCCGCTAATGACTAAGGGCTTCAATCTCCTGCCATCCTCGGCCCAGTGTCGGTCATGGTGATGGTGGAGGTGTGCAGCCAGCCAGTGGGTGATGCTTGAACCCCGATGAGGCCTGGAATGCCCTCTAGGTGTTGGGGTGCGGGGATGGGGCAGCAAAGAAGCAAAGACCTGGTGCTGGCTTCCCCCTTCCTTGGACCCAGGCAGGGAGGAGGCATTGCACAGACCTGAGGCGTCTGACTTGGGAGGAGTGCATGGGGCGGTATGACCCAGCAGGGCCTCCAGAATCAAGTCCCAGGTCCTCAAAATATTTTTTTTAAAAAAAAGCTTCAATAAGATTTTTTTTTTTTAACTACAGGAAGAAATAGAATCTATACTAATAAAAGGGTAATATGCTAATTAGAGCAGGTAGACTGGACGTCCTGCCGGACAAAGCCATGGTGGCGGGGGCCGAGGCAGAGGTGGTTAGGAGTGATCAGGCCAGCAGGGGAGAGCAGTTAGAGGCGATCAGGCCGGCAGGGGAGAGTGGTTAGGGGTGCTCAGGCCGGCAGGCAGAGGGGTTAGGGCTGATCAAGCAGGCAGGCAGGTGAGCAGTTAGGAGCCAGCAGTCCCAGATTTCGAGAGGGATGTCCGACTGCCTGCGGGATCAGGCCTAAACCGGCAGTCAGACATCCCCCGAGGGGTCCCAGATTGGAGAGGGTGCAGGCCGGACTGAGTGACACCCTCCACCTTGCACGAATTTTGTGCACCAGGCCTCTAATTCTAAAAAAAAATGTCAACACTTAATCTTATGTTACAAGAGATTTAAAAGTGAAGCATTTCCATGCTTTGCCTGGTGAGCTCTCAATCGGAGGGTGTCAGACCAAACCAGAGGGCAGGAGCCAGGAGAGGCCCAAGGGGCCGTGATGCAAGCCGGCGACACCGGCAGCCTGCACATGGAGGCGGAAGGGGGACTCCAGCAGGAAGCAGGGTGCAGACGGAGCATAACCAGCTGCGAGGAGAAACGTGACCCTGGACACTGAGTCTGCCTCTGGGCACCCCAAGTGCAGACAAGCAGGGGATGCTATAGGCCCATTTCACAGACCAGTAGGCTGAGGCCCACGGAGGCAGACAGACAGCAACAAGCTCAGTCAGAAACCTCCCTCCGTGTGCCCCCTTTTAGTTCCAAGGACTTGAGGTCAGGTCAGGTGCCACACAACCTCGCACGGCGTAGGCTGTCACCAGGGCATGACATCCCACGGACAAGACTCTGCCCAGCGGCGCCCACATCACGGACATGACTTTTTACCCGGACCGGTTACAGTGGCCACTGTGTCAGGCGGGTTGGAACGTCATTTCGACCACGACGAGACCTCAAAAAACGCTGTGATGATCTCACTCATTTATGGATAATTAAGACCATTATAAACTGATGAACAAATATAGATACAGAGGCAGAGCAGCCTCGAACAGACAGTCAAACTACAGCGGGAAGGCCAGGGAGGGTTGGGGGTGGAGGGGGGGGGGGGGTGATGGGTAAGAGATCAACGGAAGGATTGTATGCATGCAGATCGCACAACCAATGGACACAAGACACTGGGGGGTAGGGGAGGCCAGGGGAAGGTCAGAGAGAAAAAATAAAGGGGAGACATATGTAACACTCTTTGTAATATTTTAAGCAATAAAACAAAATTTTAAAAACCAAAAAACGCTGTGATGGCCAATGGGGGTGAACGTCACTTCCGGCCCAGCCATTTATCAGGGGAGTTCGAGCCCCGTACACCAAGGTGGTGGGTGTGGTCCCCAGTCAGGGCACCTGCAGGAATCAAGGCATAAAAGCATCCCTGTGCCCAACAACAAATCGATGCTTCTCTCTCTAAAAACAATAAATACGTAAAACGGCGTCATTTCAGATGCAACAACCCGACGGCCAATTCTTGGTCAACTGGGGTTAAACGTCATTTCGATCCTCAGGAAGGTCAACGGGACGGTGCGGTCGCACTCAAAAAACGTCATTCCCGGCGCAGTGAAAAGTGGCGCTTGGACAGACGTCATATCCGTCGCAGAGAAGGTCAAAATGGCCAGGTGAACGGGTTGAACCAACCTCACTTTCGTCGCGGAGGAGGTCCGATGGGTGTGGGGCGCGTTCCCCCAAGCGTCATTTCCGGCGCGACGAAAGGTCGAAGACTCGGGTGGCGCTCCAAAAGCGTCATTTCCGGCGCAAGGAAGGTCCTCCCGGCTGCGCTGTCGATGGGTTGCGACGTCAAAATGGCTGCGAATCAGCCCGGGATTCACATCCCTTCCGCAGCCAACAGACGTCCAGCTGAAACGTCACGCTGCCTGCCACCCCGCAACGCGGATTTACACGTCTCTTCTGCCGCGTCTGAAGGTCACGCTTGCTTGCGGCATGACGTCGTCTGCTACGTCATTTCGGCAGCGACCGGACATCCCTCCGGGGTTTGGTCACGCCGGCCCCAGCGTCGCCCGGGCTTAAAAGTCGCCTGGGCCGCGAGTTCTCGGGGCTTGGCGGTCGTTTCCGCCGCGACGTGATGTCGGGGCAGAGCCACATCCGCGGGCATTCCTGTCCCTGCAGCGGGGACCAGACCTCACCGGGGCCGGGGCGCCAGGACAGGAGCCCCTCGCCGGATGGGACGGCGGCGGTGAATGCGGTCCATCCCTGAGCCAGCTTCCTCCTGCAGGTATGGAATCCCTTTATTTTTTAAAGTTTTTTTTTTTAATATTGTTGTATCGCAAATCAGCGAGCTGGACAAGACGCCTTCATGAGCCGATTAGTTAGGAGTCATCTTTACTGCGCGCAGGTTCAGAGCAGATGACCTCCGTCAAATTCTGATCGCCCAGAGGAGGGAGCATTCTCTCTTTATATTCTTTTCAAGTTCTTGTGTCAGTTATTTTTTTAAAATTTATTTTATTGATCTTTTACAGAGAGGAAGGGAGAGGGATAGAGAGCTAGAAACATCGATGAGAGAGAAACATCGATCAGCTGCCTCCTGCACGCCCCCGGCTGGGGATGTGCCCCCAGCTAAGGCACATGCCCTTGACCGGAATCGAACCCGGGACCCTTCAGTCCGCAGGCTGATGCTCTACCCACCGAGCCACACCGGTTAGGTTTACCTGACTTTAAAGTCGCCAGATGACTGATAAGGAAGTCCATCAAAAAGCATATATGGCCTGGACGGCGTGGCTCAGTGGTTGAGCATCGACCCATGAACCAGGAGGTCACGGTTCAATTCCTGGTCAAGGACACATGCCCGGGTTGCAGGCTCGATCCCCAGCGTGGGGCGTGCAGGAGGCGGCCGGTCCATGATTCTCTCATCATCGATGTTTCTCTCCCTCTCCCTTCCTCTCTGACATCAATAAAAAAATATTTTTAAAAAAGCACATACGACTGACCAGTTAACACTATCAACAGAAAAAAAACCTCTGTATTTTCTTTCCAAAACCCCAGTTCTTCCCCACTGGACCTTCATCAGGGCTGAGCATGTCTCCCCTGGTTACAGAAACACTGAGAGCTTGGAGGAGCATCCTGACCAGCCTCCACCACTGTCGCCCTCTCTCACTCGCATCAGTTCCTGGAATGCTCTCCCTCGGGTGCAAGTGTGACTGGGGCAAAGCCTTCGCCTCCTCTCTGTTGTCCCCTGGATAAGGTCTCCTCCCGTTAGCATGGCTTTAGACCTTTTATGATCTGTCCTCTGACCACCCCCAGCCTCTCTTCCTCTGGTGGTTGGGTTCTGGTTTATGTGGAAATGGCAGTCTGTCATTCCTCTATCAGAGCTTCCTCCTCAGCCTGACAAACTCCTAAACGTACTACAATGTCCTTGTGCCATCAGGGAACGCATCCTGTGTCCCCCTCCGTCCCAGCTCTTGCTACGTGGGTTTGCAAGAGGCGTGGGCGTGACTGTCTCCTTGGTTAGACGGTGGGCAAGTCGGAGGCTACATCTTCCCTCCTGAACCCCCAGTGCCCAGGAAAGGGCTGTCCCACACGAGGGATTCCTTCAAACAGGAAGAATTTTACTGCAGATGCAACCGGTGGGGCAGGTCAGGCTTGCAGGTGTGTCCCGGGGAGGAGCTGCTGTGGCCACTTCCCGGGGCCCCGGGTTTCTCGGGCTGGGCCAGACCTTTGCTGGTGGTGCCTGGAGCGCTTTGCACCCCGACCTGAAGCCCTGTGGAAAGGGGCTCCTGGATTGCGAGGGCGGCTGGGCCTGTGCTGCAGTTCCACTTGTGAACACGAGGTGGCGCTCTGTGGCGGCCTATTGAGCGGGTCTTGGGCGCTCAGCTGGCCCGGCGGGGCCCAGCAGCACCGGCCTCCAGAACCCAGAGTAAATGAACTGGTACCTGAGTTTGTGATGGTGAACGGGGCTGGGAGATGCCTGCGTCTGTTCATTCCTGTCCATACGCGAATGTAGGACAAACCTACAAATGGCACTTGATGGATGTATCTTGGGGTCCCCCGGCCCTGGGTTCTATTCCTGGCTCTGCTGGTTCTAGGAATGGGACCCGTCTGTTCTGGGCATCAGGTCCCTGCCCTGCGGAGCAGAGTTAAGACTTTGGGGGCTTTGCCCTGGCTTCTGTGGATCAGTGGGTAGAGCATCAGCCTGCGGACTGAAGGGTCCCAGGTTCAATTCCGGTCAAGGGGACATGCCGGGTTGCGGGCTGATCCCCAGCAGGGGGCGTGCAGGAGGCAGCCAGTCCATGGTTCTCTCTCATCATTGATGTTTCTATCTCTCTTCCTCTCTGACATCAATAAAAATATATATATATATTTATTTATTTATTTTTTTGACATCAATAAAAATATATTTAAAAAAGAAGACTTTGGGGGCTTTAAATGAGGGGAGTTGCTGGCATCATTCCTGCCACCTCCAAGATGCCCCATAGTATTCACTTTCCCTGTGGAAATCCTTGTGTCGGGGTCCCTGCCTCCTCGCCAGCCCCTGCTCCTCCTGCCGTTTGACAATAGCTTCTCCATCCGTCCATCTCCTTGCTCCTGACTCCGGGCTGGGGACCCCTGAGGACAGGGCGGGTCTGGTTTTCTCTGTCCTCGGAGCCCAGCCCCGAGCCTCTGGGTAAACATTCTACAGAAGGATGACTCCGGAGGCCGCCTCCTCCCCCACCTCCACCCCGGACTCGGACCCAAGTCCTTCAGGCCTGAGTTCTCAGCTGCCCCTGCCTCAGACACACGGTTGTAAAAATGTGGTAAAACCTGAACGGGCCCTGGTGCCCTCGGGGTCCCCGGAGGCCTGCACGCCTGCCTGCCTGTCCAGCGCCTGGAGGGGCCGGGAGGAGCCGCCTGGCTGCCTTCCCATCCGTAGGAAGGTGGCCTCGGGGCTCCCATGGCTGAGGAGGGGGCCCCTCAAGTGCACCCAGGATCCCCTGTGTCCCGGGCAGCCAGGGGCCGGCCACCGGCTTGGTGGGCAGGACACAGACAGAAAGGGCGGGTGGGGGTTGGGCTGGCCCTCCCTCTGTGGCGGGGGGGGGGGGGGGGGGGGGGGGGTCTGTTTGAGGCCCTGGCAGGGAAGGGGCGCGTTACCATAACAACACCCAAACCTGTAAACAATCTTTGTTTGTTTGAGCCAAACTGCCCACAATCGCCAGGAAGCAGAACCTCAACCAATTGGGAGAATGCTCCAGAGAAGGGCTGATTTGCACCTATTTTTACACATTGCAATCGAAGGAGGGACGGAGGTGGGTGACATGAAACCCTCTGGGGATGGGTCAGGGAGGTGGGAGCAAGCAAAGCAGGGAAACCCCTGGGATTGGCTAACAAGTAAGATGACAGACACCTGCCCCCTTCCTTGGGGTGCAGGAGTTAACAGCCAGCAGTGAGCTCAGGACAAGGCGGGGTCTGTGGTCCCCACAGAGCGGGGCCTGGGCCGTGAGACCGGGAAAAGGGACATGACCGTGACCTTTCAGCGACATGGGGTCCCAGACGCAGAAAGACCGCAGACAGGCCCAGCGAAGGCCGAGGCTGACGGGTCAGGGAAGATCCTGGCCGAGGACGGGACTCCCCACCTCAGCTGCTGCTAGTTCAAGGTCAATGTCAGACTGTCCTGGGAGGACTTGTGAGGCCTCTGGGTTTGCCAGGCCGCCACGCAGGCTCCCCTGAGCTGGTCAGCTCAGCGTGTGGCCCCTTTTTATCCAGCGGAGTGACCCCAAGTCCCCTGTGGCTGAGGGGCGACCTGAGCAGTGAGCATGAAGGGAATGGGAGGTGAGGGCTGGTGCCGGGCCCTGAGGCCCTCACTCATCTTCCACGCGCCCAGAGCCCCGCAGACACGGCCCCCAGTGACACAGGGCGGACCCCTGACCTTCAACCTTCAATCCTCCAGGTTCCTACGGAGACTCAGCTCCGGTGGGAGGGGCTCTGCCCCCGGAGGGCAGGGGCGGGGTCTCCCTGACGCCTCGCTTGACAAGGATGTGCGTGTCCCCCTGCCTGTGACTTTTCCCTTTACACCCGTGACAGTTCAGATCCCTGGAGAGATGGATTTGGGGGTAGAAGATTCCGGGAACCCCCCCCCCCCCCCCCCCCCCCCCCCCGGTTTTCTAAGCTGGGTTGGGGCTCTGATCAAGGAGCTTTCGCTTCTCTAACCGAGTTCCTAGAACACAGAAGGCACCCTCGGGGGGTGGCGGCCTCGCCAAGTGCCAGACGGGTCACAGAGACACTGATTCAACGGCGCTTCTGTTTCGTTTCTTTTAAATATAGAAATTGCGCCAAAACCGGTGTGGCTCAGTGGATAGAGCGTCGGCCTGCGGACTGAAAGGTCCCAGGTTCGGTTCCGGTCAAGGGCATGTACCTGGGTTGCGGGCACATCCCCAGTGGGAGATGTGCAGGAGGCAGCTGATCGATGTTTCTCTCCCATCGATGTTTCTGACTCTCTATCCCTCTACCTTCCTCTCTGTAAAAAATCAATAAAATATATTTTAAAAAAAAAAAGAAAAGAAATTGCTTTCAGAGAGGAAGGGAGAGGGAATGAGGGAGAGAAACATCCGCGATGAGAGAGAATCACGGACCAGCTGCCTCCTGCACGCCTCACACTGGGGATGGAGCTCCCAACCTGGGCCTGTGCCCTGACCGGGAATTGAACCCTGACCTCCTGGTTCATTGGTCGACGCTCAACCACTGAGCCACACCAGCCGGGAATTCATTGTTAATCTTAAAGACGCACATTACAACCTCGATGAGCTGGCACCACACGTCCGCCTCAGGACGGCTAAGGTAAACGGACGACAACGCCAAGTGTGGGCAGGGTGTGGATCGCTCGGGCCTCCCGGGCGCCGGCCGGGGCACAGAATGGCGAGATCGCTTTGGCATGCGGCCTGGCAGCTTCTGACGAAGTTAAGCTTATCATTCCCCAAACAGACACAGCACAACAAGACAAAAACAAAAACAGGTCACGTCTCACTGAACCGGAAATTCCACTCCTCGGCATTTTACGCAAGATACGTGGGGACGTGCCCGCACGGAGACTGGGGCAGGGACTGGGAGAGCCAGCTCCTCGTCCACAGACTCGACTTCCGGGCGGCCCAGCAGGCCAGCGCCTCGGGCCGGAACGAACGCCTGTGGTCCCTGGAAACCCTCCGTGCAAGTGGTCGGAGCAGCGGGAGCCGCCGCAGCCCCAGCTGTCGGCAGCACCGACGCCCACTGTCCGGAGAGACACTGACCGGTGTGGCGTCCTCGCCAGAGACCGCTGCTCTGTACAGGAAGGAACAGACCAGCCCCGGCTGTTGTTGCCCAGTGGGTAGAGCGCCAGCCGGCTTGATTCCCGTCAAGGGCACGTCTGGTCGGGGCGCGTGCAGGAGGCAACCCATCGACGGGTCTCTCTCACATCGATGTTTCTCTCCGTCTCTCCCTCTCTCTAACTCTCCCTGAAAATCACTGGAAAAATACCCTCGGGTGAGGATTCACCGAAAAGAAAAGAAAAGAAAAGAAAGGAACAGCCCTGGCCAGTGTGGCTCAGTGGATAGAGCGGCGGCCTGCAGACTGAAGCGTCCCGGGTTCGATTCCCGGTCAGGGCACGTGCAGGGGTTGCGGGCTTGATTCCCAGTAGGGGGCGTGCAGGAGGCAGCCGGTCCATGATTCTCTCTCATCATGGATGTTTCTATCTCTCTCTCCCTCTCCCTCCCTCTCTGAAATCAATAAAAATATATTTAGAAGAAAAAGAAAGAGAAAGGAACAGCCCGCACCACACTCAGCAGCATGGATGAATCTCAAAATCCTCCCAGTTACGGGAACCGACAGCACAGCACGTCCGGGCCAGTTTCATTTTCATGAATGAAATCCGAGGACGGGAACAGCATCGACTGTGATGTCCGGCCGAGACGGCCTCCCCTGTGACCAGGAAGGGGGATGGGACGTGTTGGGGGAGGAGACCCTTTACGTTCCCATGGAGATGCTCACGTTCATCGGAACTCCCCCAGGTGGCCACTGGAGGTGGGTGGGTCTTATATTTGGAGACTAAACCTGGAGAAAGTTGATTTTTTAAAATATATTTTATTGATTTTTTTTTACAGAGAGGAAGGGAGAGGGATAGAGAGTTAGAAACATCCATGATGAGAGAGAAACATCGATCAGCTGCTTCCTGCACACCCCCCACTGGGGATGTGCCCGCAACCCAGGTACATGCCCTTGACCGGAATCGAACCCGGGACCCTTCAGTCCGCAGGCCAACGCTCTATCCACTGAGCCACACTGGTCAGGGCAAGAAAGTTGATTTAAAGGAACCCTGTGGCCCTGGCCGGGTAGCTCAGCCGGTTAGAGCATCGTCCCTACAGACTGAGGTTGAGGGTTCGATTCCCGGTCGGGGCCGGTATGGGAGGCAGCCCATCGGTGGTCTTCTCCCACATCGATGTTTCTCTCTCCCTCTCCCGCTCTCTCTCAAATCTATACCTAGGTCCCTCGGTTCATAAACAAACCCAAACTCAAAAACGCTGTCACTGGAAATGCAGGTCCGGCCCAGTTGCTCTCTGGCTTAACGAACACCCTTCAGATTTCCTCGTATCTTCTAGCCCAGTGGTCTGCAAACCGCGGCTCGCGAGCCACATGCGGCTCTTTGGCTCCTTCAGTGTGGCTCTTCCACAAAATACTGGCTCTTCCACAAAATACCGACTTCTGCGCATGGGCCACGAAGTTTCCATCGCACTGTACGTGCGCGCCCGCACGTGGGATTTTGTGGGAGAGCCGCACTCAAGGGGCCAAAGAGCCGCATGTGGCGCGCGAGCCGGGGTTTGCCCACCACGGTTCTAGCCACTTCCAAGCTCCCGGCCCCGCACCCAGGCCCCTGGACCCCATCCTGCCTCGCCCCATAGCGACGGCGGGGAGCCCCCCAAGCCCTCCTGTCCCTTTGCGTTGGGGCCCTGGACTCGGGGCAGTGGACTTCCTGGTGCCGTGTGAGGCCCCCGCAGCGGAGCACGGGGGTCAGGAGCGTGACCCCCGCGGACAGGGCGCCCCCCAGCAGGAGGCAGGTGCTCCAGGAGGGAGCTCAGCTCCCTGGCTGAGTGACAGGCCCGGGCTCTCGGGGCTCCCCCAGAGCACTGCCCTCCGGGCCCCCCTTCCCGCCCGCCCAGCACCCACTTCTGCTTCCTCCCTGCCCTTTGGGGCGCGGGGATCGGAAGCCCCATGCCCGCAGGCTTTCCTCGCGGACTCCCCCTGAGACGGCGCGTGGGGAAGCCAGAGAAAACGCTGCTTTCGCTCAGCTCAGCCGAGTGAGAGAAAAACGAAACGGATGCAGCCGCAGCCACGGGTCAGGCTGACTGGGACGGGGAGCGTTTGTACGAGACTTCCCATCACTGGCCGCAGTGATAACAGGGTTGCGGCGACGGCACGGCTGCCGGCTGTGAGCCGGGGCGACAGAGGGACCCGCGGCAGCCCCTCCCCAGGGGGGGCCTCCAGCAGTGCATCCACCTGACTGTGCTGTTCATTTTTTCCAACTTGTTGTCGTTGTTAATCCTCGCCTGAGGCTATTTTTCCATTGATTTTTACAAATATTTATTTTTATTGCCCTGGCCGGTGTGGCTCAGTGGGTAGAGTGTTGGCCTGTGGACTGGAGGGTCCCGGGTTCGATTCCGGTCAAGGGCACGTGCCCGGGTTGTGGGCTCGATCCCCAGCTCCGGTCGGGGCGCGTGCAGGAGGCAGCCGATCCATGTGTGTCTCTCACATCGACGTTCCTCTCTGTCTCTCCCTCCCGTCCACTCTCTGAGAACCAATGGAAAAACACCCGCTGGTGAGGATTGGCAGCACCCCGATGGCCCGTTCGGCAGCTCACTCCTGCCCTCAGCTCCCTTGCCGTCTGCCCGCAGAAGCCCTGCTCCCCAACACAGCAGGAGAATTGGGGTGAGACGCCACGTGCAGACGCGCTCAGAGGATCCCTGGAAGCTGGACTTCTCGCGTGGGAACCCCCTCCCCAGGCGCCCGCCGCCCTCGGCTTCTGGGTGGGAGTGGGCTTGCCCTCCTGGCGGTTCTGACCCATCAGGCTCAGCCGGGCTGGACCCAGGACCGAGGGAGATGCCGGCTGCTGGGGCCTCGGGGCCTTCCTCTCGAAGGCCATTGTTCTCTGCGGAGAACGGGCCTGGGCGGGCCCTGGGCCTGGGAAGGAGCAGGATGAGGTCAGCGTTCCCTCTGAAGCTGCCGGAAGCCCAGCGTTTCTGCCCCGGTTCCGCCTGGGGGAAAGGAGAAGTGGACCTCAGCGGTGTCTCCCCACGGTCACGCACCCCGGACCCTGCTCTGGGAGCAGCGGGGGCGGGGTCTTCTCTCCCACTCCGCACCCCAAGGGACCCTCGTCGGTCACTGCTTTCTGCTCCCTGGTCAGGGCAGGAGGTGGACTCATCACTAATACAGACATATTAAAGCGCCCTGGCCGGTGTGGCTCAGTGGATAGAGCGTCGGCCTGCGGGCTGAACAGTCCCGGGTTCGATTCCCGGTCGGGGCACGTGCCCGGGTTGCGGGCTCGATCCCCAGTGTAGGGCGTGCAGGAGGCAGCCGATCCATGATTCTCTCTCCTCGTTGATGTTTCTCTCTCTTCCTCCCCCTTCCTCTCTAAAATCAATAAAAATACATATTTTTTAAAAATATACTAAAGAAATAAACAGTTCAAACATTTTAGTCATAAAACAAAACCCGCACCACGTAAGCAGTTCCCGCCCCCCTCTCCGCACGCCCCACACACCTGCCTGCTTCCTGTCTCTGTGCATCTGCTCAGTGTGGGTTTTTCATATATTGGCTTTTTCCGCTTGGCGTAATTTCTTAAAAATATTTTTATTGATGTCAGAGAAGAAGGGAGAGGGAGAGAGAGAGAGAGAAACATCAATGATGAGAGAGAGTCATGGATCGGCTGCCTCCTGCACACCCCACACTGGGGATCGAGCCCGCCACCTGGGCATGTGCCCTGACCGGGAATCGAACCCTGACCTCCTGGTTCCTAGGTCGACGCACAACCACTGAGCCGCGCCGGCCAGGCTTGGCACACTGTTTTTGAAATTCACCCACATTGTAGGGCTCAGTTTACGGCTGAATAATGTTCTGGCCCTGGCCGGTGTTCCTCAGTGGTTAGAGTATTTCCCCCACTGAAGGGTTCTGGGTTTGATTTCTGGTCAAGGGCGCATACCTCAATTGCAGTTCTGTTTCCCAGCCCTGGTCAGGGTGCGTGCGGGAGGCAACCAATAGACGTGCCTGTCTCCCATCAATGTTTCTCTCCCTCTCCCTCTCTAGAAAACAAAAAGATGGAAAAATATTCCTGGGTGAGGATTAAAAAAATAATAATAATGTCCCATAAATTTGCTAATCCGTTCCTCTGTGGATGAACATAGGGGTTCTTCCCACCTTGTTTTGTTTTTGATCTTTATTGTTGAGAATATTACACACACTGAGTGGCCAGATGATGATGGCCACCCCATCAGTACAACGAAGTGAATCAGTTATGCAAATAATCATGATAATAAAACCTTGAGAGGATTTGCTCAGGAAGTTTTCAGTATTCAGTATTTTTGGGAGCGTCCATGGAGTGCCGATGGGGGGGTCATCATCACCTGGCCGGTCATCATAATCTGGCCACCTGCCCTAGCTGGCTTGGCTCGGTGGATAGAGCGTCAGCCTGCGGACTGAAGGGTCCCAGGTTCGATTCCGATCAAGGGCACATGCCTGGGTTGTGGGCTTGGTACAACCTGCAGGAGACAGCCAATCAGTGATTCCCTCTCATCATTGATGTTTCTATCTCTTCCTCTCCCTTCCTCTCTGAAATCAATAAAAATATTTTAAAAATATATATATATGGCCACCCTGCCTCGTGGCCCCTGTGCGTCACGGTACTGCTGTGTGTTTAAATATTCCTGCGTCCCCGTCCTCAGTTATTTGGGGCGGTTCTCAGTTATTTGGGGCGCACGCACTTGGCCGCGGGATTGCCCGGCCGCGGGGTGGTTTCTGAATGAACGACTCGGGGAATTGCCAGGTTCCCCCAGGGCCAGCCGCGCGGTCTCTGCGCCCCTCACGTGGGGCCCGGCAGCTGGAGCAGCCACGGGCGGATGGGGAAGTGGCCTCTCTCTCTCTCTCTGTCTCGGAGAGGAGCCGCTCTGAACTTTCCCTTTCGCCCCCGCCTCTGCGCGGAAGGGCCAGGAGGAAGGAGCCGGTGATGCCGCAGAAATTCCACGGCCCTGATGTCACCCGCGGGGCGGCCCAGCGGCCCCCGCGCGCGCGCCCTGCTCTTCTCCTTGCGCCCTGCGCTCCGGCCCCAGATCGCCGCCGTCGCTTCCCCGGGAAGGAGCCCGGGCGTGGCCGTCGAGGGAGGATGAGCGACTGCGAGTTCGGCTACGTCCAGGCGCTGGCCCGGGACTACCTGTGCCACGTGCTGCAGCGGCCGCCGCCCCGGCCCGGCCCGGACAGGGTGTCCCGGCTGCTGCGGGCCGTGGCGTCGGCGGTGCAGAGGGACGCGGAGCGGACGCTGCGGCCGAGCCTGGACGACCTGGACGTGGCGTCCGTGGAGGCGGCCCGGGCCGTGTTCCAGGCCGTGGTGCGCCAGGAGTTCGCGGACGGCGTGGTCAACTGGGGCCGCCTCGTGACCGTGTTCGCCCTGCAGGGCATCCTCGCCAAGAAGCTGCTCCGCGCGCGCGTCGCCCTGGACCCGGATCTGGACCGGGACCGGGACCTGGACGCGGACACGACCGAGGAGATCGCGTGCTTCGTGGCCGAGTTCATCACCTCGCAGGCGGGGGGCTGGATCCGGCAGAACGGAGGCTGGGTAACTAGTCTTGCGCGCTCTTTGCTCCGAAGCGGGAGTTCACGGTGTCCGGCTGCTTTAAAGGATATATATACACACACGCTTGGAGTTAGTAATTAGCTCAAAGGGCGTATACATCTTTTTGGGGGGGAAGGGGGGACACCCCGTAAATATGGATGGTATTGGCAAGACCCTCTACCCATCCTCGGTAGCAGGGCGCGGCCCAGCCCGGGCTCAGTGCGGCGCTAGCGTTGTCATGACAACGGACGCTCAGCCGCCAGGGAGTCGGTCGCGGAAGCTGTTTCATTCACTTAGGAGGTTGCAAAGGGTGGGGGTCTCTTTCCGCGAGTTCATGGCTTCCAAGTTGGTGTTTGCCGCCCCCATCTTCTAGTCCAGCGGTTCTCAACCTTCCTAACGCCGCGACCCCTTTAATACAGCTCCTCTTGTTGTGGTGACCCCCAATTTCATGGTGACAAATGGAACATAATTGAAGCATAGTGATTCATCACAAAAACAATCTGTAATTGTATGTGCGTTTTCCGATGGTCTTAGGCGACCCCTGTGAAAGGGTTGTTCGACCCCCCAAAGGGGTCGCGACCCACAGGTTGAGGACCGCGGGCCTAAGGTAACAAATCCTGGCTGTGAAGGCTTGATCAGAGGAGGAAGGTACTGGCAGAAACTTGATTCGAGAATTTCCAAGTGAGAATTCGCTCTATTGTCGAGGCCTCAAAAAGCCGGGGCCCTGGGTGGGGCCGCTGTTAGAAGTCGGGTCACGGGGCCTTTCATAGGGGGTGTCTGTGCTTTTTTTTTTAAAATATATTTCTTTATTGATTACAGAGAGGAAGGGAGAGGGAGAGGGAAAGAAAGAAACATCCATGATGAGAGAGAATCATGGATCGGCTGCCTCCTGCACGCCCCCCACTGGGGATCAAGCCCACACCCTGGGGAAGTGCCCTTGGCCGGAATCAAACCCGGGACCCTTCAGTCCGCAGGCCGACGCTCTATCCACTGAGCCACACTGGCCAGGGCTTTGCTTTTTCTTTATGTCCCAACACTTGATGCTTCGCTTCTTAAAAACACTGTGTCCCCAAGCACCTTCTCCGCCCGCGGCCCCCCCCCCCCACACACCTGACCCTCCCCTCTCCCTGGAGGTAACCCCCGTTATCAATTATTTTACATGCAAAACATAGCCGTTGATTATAGCCACAGAAAGTACCCATAGTGCATCTTTGTAAAAAAGGGTTTTTTAAAATTAATGTATAACTAGTACATGGTGCTTATTCTGCTTTTTCTTCACCCGAGGGTATTTAAAATAGTATTTTTATTTATTTTTTAAAATATATATATATATTTTATAGCTGCCTTCTTTAAAAAACTTGATTTCTTCTTTTCTTAAATATATACTTTCATTGATCTCAGAGAAGAAGGGAGAGGGAGAGAGAGAGACAGAAACCCCCATGATGAGAGAGAATCATGGATCGGCTGCCTCCCGCACGCCTCCCACCAGGAATTGAGCCCACAACCCCGGGCGTGTGCCCTTGACCGGAATCGAACCCGGGATCCTTCAGTCCGCAGGCCGACGCTCTAACCACTGAGACACACCGGCCAGGGCTGAATTGACCAGGTCTGCAGCATCCACGGCGTTTCTACCAAGTCCTCCTCCCAGCACAGCTGGTGAGAGCGTCCGGTGTTTGCCCCCCCCCCCCCCCCCCGCCTTCCACTCTGCTGTAGAAATCTCGTCATTCCCACACTCCATCCTAATGCAGCTGGTTGAAGTCTTGTCGCCCCAATGACTAGCGGGGTTATGGCCTCTGCCAGCGCCTACATAGGGACCTGCCTGCTTACAGTCTTTGCCCGTCTTCCTGTTATTTTGTCTTCTTCTCAGTGGCTGGTAGGATTCCTGTGACTGACTGTTCGGGATGCAAATACTTCTATGCAGGTGGCAGGTGATCCCCCCTCTGGCTCACTGGCTTTCAAAACCATGGGCGACTTCAGTCAAGGAGTTTTGAAACTTGGTGTGACCTTTGCAAGTTGCTGGAGGCCCCCCCCCCCCCCCAGCACTCCCCCTTCTACTGGCCTTTTCTTCCTGCGATTCTTCTAACTCAGCAGCCCTGGCCTCGGGCTGGGGCAGCGCGAGATCTTGTCAGCGTCTTCCTGCCGCTGTGGGAAGCCAGAGGAAGGAGGGGGTGGGGGGAGGTTGCAGCTGTGGGTGTCGTTTTGGTTTCCAGCGAAGGCAGACATTCTCTGTGGCTCAGAGGCCCCCCTGTGAGCCTGGGCTAGCCTGGCCCTGAGTCCTCAAAGCTTAGAGTATTGGCGGCAGAGAGAAGGGATCAATATTCTTTTTAAAAATATATGTAATTTATTGATTTTTTACAGAGAGGAAGGGAGAGGGATAGAGTTAGAAACATCGATGAGAGAGAAACATCGATCAGCTGCCTCCTGCACACCTCCCACTGGGGATGTGCCCGCAACCAAAGGACGTGCCCTTGACCGGAATCGAACCCGGGACCCTTCAGTCTGCAGGCCGACGCTCTACCCACTGAGCCACACCGGTCAGGACGGAATCAATATTCTTTGAAAATGTGACCACATAGCCATGAATGGTGTGAGCTCTGGAACTCCTGACCGTGGGAGTGGGGAGCTGTCTGGGAGAATTTCTAGACGTGAACTGACCCTCCCGGGAGGTCCAGGGGTCGGCGTGAGCCTCCACACACGGAAGGACACACGTGTGCCCGCACACGCATGCTCGGCCGTCATGGAGCCCTTGGGCGGGTTCGGGCTCCCCACGTGCGTGGGTCTGAGACAGGAGGGCGTTTCAAGGCCGCCGCCACCTCCCTTCCAGGCTCCCATGAGTCACTGTGCTGGGCATGGGGGGCCCTGCTGTTCCGAGCCAGGCCGCCAGCGGGCAAAGGGCAAGGGGCCAGGGCACCTTCTCTCAGCGCCTGGACAGTCGAGCTCAAATGAATGAACTTGCCCTTGAATGACTCATTTCCGGGGACGGCACTGCCCGCGGGTCGTGGCCCCCAGGAAGGGGGGGCGGCACCTACTGGGAAGCCGGCCACCCGGTTCCTTTCTGGGCTCCGGGGCGACCTGACAGGTTGCGTCACTTCTCTCAGCCTCAGGGCGTCTGCAGCACGGGGGGGGGGGGGGGGGGCGGCCCAGCCACCTGCCTCCTCGGCCGGAGGAACCCCGTTACTTCTGTATCGGGAGCCCCCTAAGACACTTTCCGCAAAGAGTTCTCAGTACTTGCTGGTAGTGGTGGTGGTGGTGGTGGTATTGCCTAACCTCCCTGAACAAATAGACTAAATCCCCATTAATCACATGATCAGTTACAGTTGGCAGTTAACCACCGTCTAAAACAGATGCCCTAAAAGGGGGGCGGGGACCAGTGAATCAGTAATGGGATTTATGGCCCTGGCCGGTGTGGCTCAGTGGGTAGAGCGTCGGCCTGCAGACTGGAGAGTCACAGGTTCGAGTCCAGTCCAGGGCACAGGCTGGGGTTGTGGGCTCGATCCCTAGGAGGTAGCGTGCAGGAGGCAGCCGATCCGTGATTCTCTCTCATCATGGATGTTTCTCTCTCTCCCTCTCCCTGCTCTGAAACCAATAAAAATATATTTTTTAAAAACAGATACGCTGTAAGTATAAAATATACATTGTTTTATTTTTTTTTATTTATTTTGTTGATCCTCACCCGAGGATATTTTTCCATTGATTTTTAGAGCGAATGGAAGGAGGGGGAGAGACAGAGAGAGAAACATCGATGTGAGAGAGGCATTGATGGGTGGCCTCCCGCATGTGCCCCAACCAGGGCCGGGGACCGAGCCTGCAACCGAGGTCCGTGCCCTTGGCCGGAATCGAACCCAGGACCCTGCAGTCCGTGGGCTGATGCTCTATCCACCGAGCCACACCGGCCAGGGCCAGGACACACGTTAACGATTTGGTACAAAACACTGTCAGATATTTCACTAATCATTTTCCTGTTAACCGTATTACAATACTACTGTAGATAAATATATTTCAAAATCAGTTTCGCCCCTCTCTTTTTTCCTTTTTACACGTGGCTACTGAGAAATTAGAATGACAGGACGTAGCTCCCTGAAGACGACGCTGAGGTCGGACGGCATAAAACTAGTGAGACGGTGACAGGATTTCCCAGGCGACCTAAAATACACAGGCGTCCCGGAGGCACAGGAAAAACCCGGTCACTTCCAGACGTTCCACATGTACCCACGGGACCCAGGGAGACGGTTCCTCTCCAAATCCTGAGCAAAAACATGGAGGAGCCTCTCCCTTTTTATACCTTTCTGGGTCTCTGTGTCTCCCAAATTTGGGATGAGACTTCCGGACCTTTCGTAGGCGTTTAAAAAAAACATAAAAGACGCCCTGTGTGCTGGGATGGGGGGGGGGGGGGGGGGGGGGCGCGGGAGGAGGGCCAGTGCACCGAGTACCTATCTTGCAGGGAGCTTACGGCCTTGAGCACAGCACCACTCAGATAACTGACAAATGCCTGGCACGGGAGTAGCTAGAAGCAGCCACAGAGCGGCTTGCATGGTCGGATAAGAAGAGAAAGGGCCGAACCGGTTTGGCTCAGTGGATGGAGCGTCGGCCTGCGGACTCAGGGGTCCCGGGTTCGATTCCGGTCAAGGGCATGTACCTTGGTTGCGGGCACATCCCCAGTGGGGGGCGTGCAGGGGGCAGCTGATCGATCTCTCTCATCGATGTTTCTAACTCTCAATCCCTCTCCCTTTCTCTCTGTATAAAAATCAATAAAATATATTTTTAAAAAAATAGAAGAGAAACGGTCTGCGAGGCGACTGGCTCACAGACTCAGATCGCTAGCAGCCCCCCAAAAGGTCTCATTTTCCCCGTCAAGACCCCTGAGAAGATGAGCCCTCTGCATCGCTGAGACGACACTTCCTGTGCTTTTCATTCCAGCTCTCGCGTGTCCACCGACGGTGTTCTAACCCTGTGCCCTCTGTCCTCTCCTAGGAACACGGCTTCGTGCAGAAGTTCGAGCCCCGGCCGGGCTGGCTGGCCTTCCTGGGGGCGGCGGGCCAGGTCCTACTGTGCGCCCTGAGGCAGCTCCCCTGACCGCAGGGACCCCGGGGGTTGGGAAACCTGGACTCTTGCGGGAGGGATTGCCCACACCCACTTCTCCGCCTTTTGCACAAACAACACTCGTGGGGCAACCGGACGGTTCCGGGGCCGCGGACACTGTGCCCCCTTTTCCACAAATAAATCGAATGTACGTGTCTCTCTGCGGCGTCCGCGTCTTCCTGGGAGCCCGGCGCAGGGCTGACCCGCCCGCGGCCCCGGGGGCAGGTCTCAGGTGGGGGATGCGTAAGAGGAAGGTGAGTCTGCAGGCCCAGGCAGCCAGGTTTCTGACGGGCCTGTCCCTGACCCCAAAGCCATTTTCCTTGTCACTGGCCCACACTGCAGGCGGGTGAGTCCGCTGACCCTTCCCCGGGGCCCCGTCTTGGGTCCGCCCCGGGCCCCTGGGTGCTGAGTTTTGTCCGGGTCCCCTCCCCCAGCCGTCACTGGAGGTGATGGAGGCAGCAGCCGGACCCTCGGCACACGAGGGATCGTTAGAACAAAGGGAGGTACATGCCTTAGTGTCGGGCCATCGGGAAACCGCCCATGAAAACATTTCACAAATTTGCCCCGGCCGGTGTGGCTCAGTGGATAGAGCGTCAGCCTGCAGACTGAAGGGTCCCAGGTTCGAATCCGGCCAAGGGCACAGACCCGGGTTGCAGGCTCGATCCTCAGTGGGGGGCATGCAGGAGGCAGCCAACCCATGATTCTCTCTCATCATGGACGTTTCTCTCTCTCCCTCTCCCTTTCTCTCTGAAATCAATAAAGAAATATATTTAAAAAATTTTTTTCACATATTAGAAAACTGTCTTTTGTTAGGCTGTGCTCTGATTTTTTAAAAAATATATTTTTATTGATGTCAGAGAGGAAGGGAGAGGGAGAGAAACATCAAGGATGAGAGAGAATCACGGATCGGCTGCCTCCTGCACGCCCCCCACTGGGGATGCAGCCCCCAACCCGGGCCTGTGCCCTGACCGGGAATCGAACCCTGACCTCCTGGTTCACAGGTCAACGCTCAGCCACCGAGCCGTGCAAGCTGGGCGAGGTCAGCAAGTTTGATTGCGACACGGGAGCACTGTACCTCGCTCTAGACCAGCGGTTCTCAACCCTCTGGCCCTTTAATGCAGCTCCTCATTGTGGGGACCCCCAACCATAACATTATTTCCGTGGCTGCTTCATCGCTGTCATGTTGCTGCTGTGATGAATCGTCATGTAAATACCTGATATGCAGGATGCATTTTCATTGTGACACATTGAACATAATGAAAGCATCGTGATTCATCACAAAAGCAATATGTCATGATATATGTGTTTTCCGATGGCCTTAGGCGACCCCTGTGAAAGGGCCGTTCGGCCGCCAAAGGGGTCCAGACCCACAGGTTGAGAACCGCTGGTCTAGACCTTTCCACTCCTCCTCCTCACATTACACGATCTCTACCCCTTGGGGTTTGCATTGCATTTTCCTCTGGAGGAAACAGGCTTCAACACAGAAAGTCTCTGGTCTGCCCTGGCCGGTGTGGCTCAGTGGATAGAGCGTTGGCCTGCAGACTAAAGGGTCCCGGGTTTGATTCCGGTGAAGGGCACAGGCCTGGGTTGCGGGCTCAATCCCCAGTGGGGGACGTGCAGCAGGCAGCCGATCGGTGATCCTCTCTCATCATGGATGTTTGTATCTCTCTTTCCCTCTCCCTTCCTCTCTGAAATCAATTAAAAAAAAAAAAGTCTGTGGTCCCAGGTCATGGGGCTGGTGGGCGGGTCACATGGACCCCCAGGCCCACACTGGTCCTCAAGGCCTCGCTTCCTCCTGGTCAGCTGGTACCGCCTGACCCTCTGCCTCCCACTCCACCCCTGGCAGGAGCCGGAGCTGCCAGTCAAGGTCAGCTGGGTGAGGCTGGTCTCCCCACCGAGAGGGCGGGTCTTCAGCCGGTGAGGATCCCGTGTCTTCCCTGTGCCATGGTCTAACTTAAGACCAGTCGGTTGCCACTGTTTGGGATCTGGAAACGGAAGGACTGCTTTGTATCATCCTGTATGGAAATGCAACCCTTTATTATTATTTTTTTAAATCAGTTTTTATTCGTGTCAGAGAGAGAGGGAGAGAGAAACATCCATGATGAGAGAGAATCACGGATCGGCTGCCCCCTGCACGCCCCCCACTGGGGATGGAGCCCACTACCCAGGCCTATACTCTGACCGGGAATCGAACCCGGGACCACCTGGTTCACAGGTCGACGCTCACCACTGAGCAACACTGGCCCGGCACACAGACCCTTTCTCTATAAGCGGCAGCAGCCCGGGTGGCTCTTTCTGCCGGAAGATGCGATCGGGCGCCCAGCCTGAGGGTGGTGCCCGCTAAGTCAGGGCACAGGCCCGGGTTGGGGGCTCGGTCCCCAGTGGGGGGCGTGCAGGAGGCAGTCCGTCCAGGGTGGGCGGGTTTTCTCCGGTTCATCTGCCTCGTGACCAAAGGCCAAGATCTTCCAGACAGCCGACGAGCCCAGGGCTGCGATGGGGAGCAAACCCATGACCGACGTTCCCCAAAACCGTTCTCGAGTTGAAGGTCGACGTTTGGGCCACGCCGGAGCCGGAGCCTCCATACAGGAAGAGCGGGTGGCAGACGCTTGCAACACCACCCGTGTAGGCAGCTCATCCCCGCCGGCCCGGCTTCCCATTTCGCGGAGGACTTGCCGGTCGCACATCCTCCCCGCCGCGCCTGCCTGCCTGTCTCAGCCGTTCTCAGCCTGGGGGTCACGACCCCTTTGGGGGTCGAACGCCCCTTTCACAGGGGCCCCTAAGACCATCGGAAAACACATCTATCATTACGTATAGTTTTTGTGATTGATCGCGATGCTTTCATGGTGTTCAATTTGTCACCATGAAATTGGGGTCACAGAACATGGGGAGCTGTATTCAAGGGTCCCGGCAGGAAGAAGGCTGAGAACCGCTGGCCTGTCTGGTCTTCCCTTCCCCTGCCCCACACACACCCTGGTCTGGCATCTGTTCCCTCCTGTTGCGGTGACCAGCTGCCCGTAGGCCAACCCCCAGAATCTGTGGTCCCCCGTGGTCCCTCCCTCTCCGGCATCGGCGGCTCCCTCCCTGCCCATCAGCCCCCCCAGCACGCAGGCTCGCTGTCCCGGCTCCCACGTCAGTCAGCGAGGGTTGGCGGGGGTGTGGCCGACTGGAATGGCTGGGAGACCGGTTAGGAGCCTGCTGTGGCCCGTGGGTGGCAAAGACTTCTTTTTTTTTTTTAATATATTTTATTGATTCTTTACAGAGAGGAAGGGAGAGGGATAGAGAGTTAGAAACATCGATGAGAGAGAAACATCGATCAGCTGCCTCCTGCACACCCCCCACTGGGGATGTGTCCGCAACCCAGGTCCATGCCCTTGACCGGAATCGAACCCGGGACCCTTCAGTCCGCAGGCCGACGCTCTATCCACTGAGCCACACTGGCCAGGGATGGTAATGACTTCTTGACTCTTACTCGATCGACTCCCATTTCTGTATCGATCCCTCTGGATGTGTCTATGTAAAGCCGCGAGTTTACACGGACACTTGGTTGCTGTTAACTCTTCACCCCGGGGATGTTTTTCCATTGATTTTTAGAGAGAGTCGAAGGGAGTGGGAGGGACAGAGAGAAACATCGATGTGAGAGAGACACGCCGATGGGTTGCCTCGCATACGAGCCCCGACCAGGGCCCGGGATGGAGCCTGCAACCGAGGTCCGTGCCCTTGACGGGAATCGAACCCGGGACCCTTCAGTCTGCAGGCGGATGCTCTAACCACTGAGCCACACTGGCTAGGGCTACGCTGATACTTTAATTCCTGTACACCACCACAGGGCTCACGCCAAACTTCCTCTTTCCTTATTTGTCACTGTTTTTTTTTTTTTTTTCCCCAAAAGGGAGAAACCTGACTCTCATTACCCACAATGTATGTACTACAGCGGGGCCTTGACTTACGAGTTTAATTCGTTCTGAGACCGAGCTCGTTAAGGAGTTCGTTAACTCAAATTACTCTGTCAACTCAATGCAAAATATCCCCAGAGAGACAGCTGGTATCTCAAAAAACTCGTTAGTCGGGACACCCGTATGTCAAGGCCCGGCTGTACTTATTTGTCTCTCTCTGTCGACTGCTAATTTACAACCCTCAGAAAAACAATCGTAGGAACTAGAGTGCAATGCAGGGCGTCCCCAAGGAAGTGTATACACACTTTAACAGCTGATGACTCCATTTTCACTCCTTTTCAGGCTTAGCTGATTTGAAATGACGGGTGAAGCCAGGCAGCTTTGAACAAAGAAAATCTAGCCACTAGACTTTTTTATGGGGATACAGAAAAGATAAAGTTTACAGCCTGGCCTGCGTGGCTCAGTGGCTGAGCGTCGACCTGTGAACCAGGAGGTCACGGTTCAATTCCCCGTAAAGGGCACAGGCCCGGGTTGCGGGCTCCATTCCCAGGGGGGGCGTGCAGGAGGCAGCCGATCCGTGATTCTCTCTCATCATGGATGATTCTATCTCCCTCTCCTTCCTCCCTGAAATCAACAACAACAAAATTATATATATATATTAAAGTTTACGGTACAAAACAGGCAACAGTTGACAAATTGAAGGCCCACAAACACCAATGAAATGATTCTTGATGTTTGCGATTCCATTACTTTGTATTAAGAGCGGTGCCTGGACCAGAATGGTCATCAATTTGAAAACAGGCACTGACAGACAAATTATTCATTTCTGAAGATCCTTTTAAATTTCAAAAATGAACTATATGTTAATAAATGCTGACTTTGCCCGGCCGGTGTGGCTCAGTGGTTGAGCGTCGACCTATGAACCAGGAGGTCAGGGTTCGATTCCTGGTCCGGGCACATGCCCGGGTTGCGGGCTCCATCCCCAGTGGTTGGGCGTGCAGGAGGCAGCGGATCAATGATATTTGTCTTGCAATGATGTTTCTATGTCTCTACCCTTCTCTCTGTAAAACCAATAAAAAATTATTTAAAAAAATATAAAATAAATGCTGACTTTATCATCATTCAAAGTGTGTATACATTTTTGCAGGGGACACTCTATCTATACTATTAAAAGGGTAATATGCTAATTAGACTGGACATCTTCCGGACGTCCTTCCGGACAAAGCCCCGGTCGCAGGGGCCAAGGCAGAGGCAGTTAGGGGTGATCA